TATAGATCTTCGAAAAGTCCAATCGTTAAGTGAACGTACCGAAGATAAATTCTCGCGTTAAGCCGACAAAGACATGGTGATGCATTCGTTCTGGACCACCCTCGAACTTTCTTTCTCACCCTATAAACTTTCTCTCTCGGTCGAGTGTCGTTAACGAAAGGGTTGTGAAAAGTATGCGAAACGCGTATAAGCGAAAGGGAGGATAGACAAAGAGGAGTTGCCGTCTTATTTGAGGAAAAAGAAGAAAAGGAGAGAGAGAGAGAGAGAGAGGGATAGAGGCTATTTCGTTCTTCGAAAAGAAAAAAAGAAAAAGAAGTAGGTACATTGGCAAAGAGAAAGAAAAGGAACAGCAAGAGAAAAAACGAAAGTATACTAATGTAATATCGCGCAAGGCGTTTTAATAAACAGAGTTCAGTAATCAAGGCAGCGGTTTAAGTAGCTTTCTTGTTTTTTAACGATCGTTTTTACGTCCCATTTAAATCATCCTACGAGAAGAACCAAGATGAGGGAGGAAAGAGAGAGAGAGAGAGAGAGAGAGAGAGAAAGAAAAAAAGAAAAAGATTCAAGATGAACTTGGAAATATTTTTACGAGTTTCATTTTCTCCTCATCTCAAAACTTTTCTTGATAAAATTCATACGTACGTTTATCCGTGTCGCAAGTAATTCTCTTACCTTTTTTCTTATTTTTTTTCTTTTTTCTTTTTTTTCTTTTTGTCAATTCTAATTCTAAGCAAGAGAAGGTATAATGATGTAAAATCTAGACACATCCTTGGAGATATTTCTCTTTGTGATGACCAGTCGCAGGAGGACGTTTTTCATTGGAATCATAGCTTGGTTTAAAGTGTACGCGACACATACACGCACATACCGCATACACACGGTCACATCAAGCCGGATATTATTTCAGTCGGCGCATATTTCCGCAAATGAATTTTATGAAAACAGTTTTTGTTCTTTTAATTAATCGCTCTTCCGTTCCCTGGGATATGTCTCTCTCCCCTCCTCTCACACTTTTACTCTCTCTCTCTCTCTCTCTCTCTTTGTCTCTCTCTATCTCTGTCTCACTCCCTTTCACCCTCCTATCATCTCGTTTCAACGTCGAGCGACGTCGTCCCGTCTTCCGTCGAGCTCGCGAGGAAATATCCGGACAGCTGGTGCTGTTCAGTTTTTAATAACAATATTGTTTCAAAGACAGTGCGCAAACGAAAATGCGATTCACCTTTTTTGCTTAAACATCGTCGTCGAAATCTGATTTTGTTTCTTTTTTTTTTTTTCTTTTTTTTCATTTCTTTTTCCTTTTTCTTTTGGACTCTGACTATAGCCATTATCGTTCGTCGTAATATATCATCGAATATTTTAATATCAACGTCATTTTAATATATATTTTATCATCGTCGACCATACGTAGCTTCGATTCGTCGATTCTTTTTTCGTTCCTTCTATATTCTTTTTTCTTTCGGGTTTTTTTTTCTTTTTTTCTTTTTTTTTTTTTTTTTGTCGGGTCTTCCTTTCCTTCCTTCCGTCGCACGTTTCGTTCCCGAGCGATACAATTTCACGCGGAATTCATTGGAATGCGTAGGTAGCGCGACGTGAAAAGAGACGAATTAACGCGAAAAGCAGCAGGGAGACATTACTATTGTTGTTTTTCCTTTATCTCTTTTTTCTTTTTTTTTTATTTTTTTTTTGTTTTGTTTTTTTTTTATTTTTTTTTTTATTTTCTCCTTTAATTTTTTTAATTGTTTTTTATTTTAAAATGAAATTTCGCGTAGCCCGCGCAAAGGCTAATTCTTCTTTGCGATTCGCGTGCGTTCTCGCAAATGGCTTTTGTAAATAAAAACGGCCGCGATGTCGGGATGCATGGTTTTAATTAATTATTTTCTCGACGCGACGTCACCTTTCGCAAGATAATCCTAAAGTTTTCCAATGATTTACGTGTCGATCGTCCGCGTTAAATTACGATTTTCACTTTGTCTCTTTGACGCGTACATTTTTCGTTCGGGTTTCCGACAACGTTGGATACCGATAACAACCGACCGTCACAACGGTGAACGGAGAAAATAAGCTACTTAAAAAAAGTACACCCGTTAAAACAACGGGTCCCGACTGTCGGCTCATTTTTTTACACGAATTATTCCTTTTATCTTGAACAATGTTGAAAATAAGATTCGAATAATCCGGATATTATTATGTATAATTATTTATGAAAAAAATACTTCGGTTTGGGTGAAAAGTAAACTCGTTAAAACAAAGTTACCACAGTCGACACATTTTCCATACCAATTATTATTTTTATTTTCAATAATGTTTAAAATAAGATTCGAATAATCTGAATATAATTATGTCGTGAATATAAATATTTATGAAGACAATAATATAATGTTATTAATCGAATATCGAAAATGATAATTAGTTGATATTTCTTTCTTTCTTTTTTTTGTTTGTGTGTGTGTGTTTTTTTCTTCTATCGAATCATTCGTAGCTTAACTTAAAGTTAAAACGCTTTTGGATTTGATCTTGTCGAAGATAAAATATCGTGAAGTAAGCGTTGAAGGGGTAAGTCGTACACGAATGGTATAGGTTGGCACGAAAGGGTGAAAATAATTCACGAAAATTGTTGGGCACTTTCCTCTTTCCTTTTCTCTTTCCTCTTCCCCGTTTTCGTTCGTCGGCCTAACATTACGACAAAGTCTCTCTCTCTCTCTCTCTCTCTCTTTCTCTCTTTCTCTCTCTTTTTCTCTTTCAACGTACATGGGCGTTTTGTACATACAAACAGGAGTAATTGTCGGCCAATTATGTGGTCGCAAGCTCGTACGTTCTACGTATAATATACTTGGGTGAACGTTCATGGCCAGTAGAAAGAGAAAGAGAGAGAGAAAGAGAGAGAGAGAGAGAGGTGTGCCGTAGGTAATCGCGCTCATAAATAACATTTATTGGTGGGCCAGAACACTAATTGCCAATGATTACCGCGAACGCCAACGAGAAAAATTGCCAATTTACATCGAATGCCTTCTATTATCCCTTTTCCACGAGACTCGCTAGTTCGATCGCTTATCCTTTCTAGGGAGGGAATTAACGTGAAGGATAATCGATTTTGATATCGTCCCATTATTCTTATGTCTTCTTACTTTATTAAGTAACCATATAATGTTTGGCCAATGTGCAAATTAATTATTCTCATTTGCATTTTTTTTTTTTTTTTTTTTTTTTTTTTTTTTTTTTTTTTTTTGAGTAGATTTATACATGCACATTGTAATAATAAATAAATGTAATAAATTTTGTAGAATAATTATACGTATAGAGAGTGACGTAACGCAAGTTATCCAAGTTACGTGAACGAAAAGCAAAATAAATGATTGCAATTGGGAATTGGTTGGAATCATTGGTTATTACGTTCGAGGGAAGAAAATAGACATTGTCGCAGTCGGTATAAATTCGCGATGTTCAGCCAAATTTTGATTCGGTTCGATTCAACTACGAATCGTTCCTTTATTCCCGTGCATTTTCGTTCTCTATCTCTTTCGCACACGTATTCCAATTTCTTCGTTTTTTGGGAAACGGATGCAGAGGAGGAACGGGGAGGATTGGTAGTGGAGGGCTTCGCGTTCACACCCGAATAGAGTTGGATTTCGCTCTCCTGAATACACAATGGGATTTATTCGAAACGTGGCGTATAAAACACAAAGGACTCTGTATGATTGGTAAATTATTGAGCCAAGCAGGATTTGTCGGCCAATCACGTAGCGCCTTTAAATAATTCAAAGGAAGCTCAAAAGTAGAAAGATGCGAGTAAAGTACAGAAAAGAAGAAGAAGCTCTAGTCGATATTATATATATATATATATATATGTATATACATAAGATCGAAAAGAGAATCATTATACGTTTAAAAAAGAACATTTCTCTCGATATTTAAATGTATTATTTATAAAAGGAACTTTCGTTTCATGCATAGGAAAGATCTTGGACGGAATAATTCCGCATCGAAAGGAAAATCACATTCGCAACTTTGGCCCGAACAGTATCCCAAAGTATATCTGTTAAGGAGAGATAATATGTATGGGAAAAAAAACAAACAAAAAAATAAATATGATCTATCAGAAACGAGAAAAAAAGTATTTTATGAATAGGAACGATCCTTGACGGAATAATTTCGTTTACGTTCTTCAGGTTCGAAATAAAATCCCATTCTCGTTCTCGATCGGAGCGATGAGAATGATAGGTCCCTTTTTCTGGATAGCTGTTATCGCGATCGGATAAAATTTCTTCGGAGAGTAGGTAGTAGGTCCGACAAATCCCCGAAGCGTATGGTGCCAGAGAAACGCGGAAGAAATAAAACATTTTCTCTCTTCTTTCTCTCCAGGGCGATAGTGCGCCGGCAGTTTTGCGGAGCGGACCGAACTTTCCGCATAACTCAGCCTCGTTATCTGACTCGCAAATAAGGCAACGGAAAAGTTCGCGACATCAATCCGGCCCTCTGTCGGGAGATTCGAAGTTGAAACAATGCTTAAGTCACCCTATAACGTATGAGCCCCAAGAGGGTGGCACACGAGAAAGACGGAGACGAAGAGAAAAAGAGAGAGAGAGAGAGAGAGAGAGAGCCAATCGTTCGTGCTAACGTTTTCAAGCTCGATCTTCCAACTTACGATTTCGTTCGATTCGATATATCATCGTTCTGCCTATCATCTTTTATGATTATTTCTTTTTCTCTTTTTTTTTTTCTCTACTTCGCCAATTTTCACCGTGATTTAGATTTCATTTGGAATGGTATCGTAAAGATTTATAGATTTACCTACGTGTAACCAGGATCCTTAGTTATACCTGAAATGAATAATTAAATGATCGTCCCTCGTCAACAATAAAATGAAATGATTTTATTCCTTGAATAATACATACATCGGTGTTACAATTAATTCGTTCGTCTAAAATTCAACAATGTAGGGTATACATCTTCGTCTCTTTCTTCCTTTTCTTCTTTTTCCTTTTTCTTTCTTTCTTTTTTTTCCTTTTTTTTTTTCCCCCTTCTATACACTTTGTTAACTATCCTTTCACCGGTTATATGAGACAATTCGTAATCGAAGAAGTCGAACAGTCGATACACTTCGAAAAAAGCACCATTATTATCATTATTATCTTTCTTTATCCTTTTCCTAAAGATAATACTCGTACTATCTACAGAACGAAATCGCTCTTTTTTCTTTTTTTTTTTTTCGTTTTTCTTTTTTCCAAAAAGAAAAAAAAAATAAAAATAAAAAAAGAAAAGCGCTAAAGGGATCGCAAATGATCGATTTTATCAGCTTTTCACCGGCATGTAATCGCGATCTTTCCTTGCTTTCGTTTCCTCGTACGATCGATAGATCGTAGCCGATCTTAGCGTGGGGACTCGATCGCGACGAGTCTCTTCTCTTCTCTTTGCAAAAAATCTCACGACGATTTCCATCATCCTTTTTTATCTCTTCTCGAACCGATGACGATGCTCCGAATAAAACGGAAAAACGAAACGGACCGATAGCAACGACGATAAACTACGCACTCTCGCGATTCGACATATATATATTATTTAGATATATATATGTTTGTTATTCTTGTATGTTAAGTTTAGGTGTTAACATAGGTAGTAGGCGTAGACGCGTGTATATCGGCGCTTATTTCGTTTGTCATTTGGCATCGTACGGTGCTTGCGCATTGATACCATTTAAATTATTCATGGGGTTCAGGACGTTGTGAGCGCTCGATGTAGCCGGTGCTGGATATCCATTGTGGTTATGGGCTGTTTCCCCATTCGCCTGTCTCGGAGGACCTCCAGCAGGTACCGTCTGAAAGATAAAAGAGAGATCGTACGATTATTGCCTATATCGTTTCTTTTCTTAAAAAAGAAAGAAGAAGAAAAAAAAAAAGAAAAAAAAAAGAAAGAAAAGGACTTTTTAATACTGCAATCTTTGACAGTCGATGTTTTTTTCTTTTTTTTTTTTTTTTTTTTTTTGTACGATTAATAGATACACGAAAATAACCGGTTCATTCCTTATTATTTCAATTTAATCTCTAATAAATTCGTTATCTTCTTTCTTGTAAAATTGTATTTACTCTCAGACGGGATAACTCTATTCGGTCGTTTCTCTTTCGTTCGACCCTCTTGTTCCTTCCTTCCTTCCTTCCTTCCTTCCTTTTCTTTCTCTCTCTCTCTCTTTCTCTCTCTCTTTTCGTCCTTTTACCTACTTACTTCTGTCTCTATCTCGAGACTGTATTAATGTAGAAGCTAGAGAGGGATAGAGAATAAGAGGAGATGCTGCACGGATAGGTAAGTGCCGTTGAAAACTTTCAACTTCCTATCTTTCTCCCTTCTCTCTCTCTCTCTCTCCATTTCTCTCTATCTCTTTTTACCCTTCAACGTCTTCCAACACTCCCTTTCTCTCGGTTTCTATAGTAAAGGTGTTAAATTATACAGGCTTAAAATTCGGCAGACCGTGCGACTCCCTCTTGACGAAACAACGGATCTTCCCACGGCTACGTCTTACTTTACGAACACTCGCGAGTCGATCGTACTAATTTAACTACGACAACGAGTCGACTTGAACAAGAAGAAGAAGAAGAGAAGAACTCGGCTTTTCTTTCATTCTCTTTTCTTCCCTCTCGATCAGTTTCATAGAAACTTTCTACATCATCAACTTTCTATATATTTTATTATATATATATATATATACGATAATGAAGTCTGCTTACAGTTTTTTCCACGAATTTTTCCGGCTCTTGAATCCTCGAGAAGGAATAGCTAGAACGCGCAAGTAAAAGTCCAAGTAATTAACTCGTAAATAATTACGATAAAAATGACAAAGCGTCGCGAAAGAAATGCTTTATCGTTCCATTGCCGCTAGCAAGGGTGACTCTTTCCTCGCAGAAGAAATCCCTAAATCTTAACCGTAGCGCGAGAACCCTTTCCAAAAGCTTATTCTCTCTCTCTCTCTCTCTCTCTCTTTCTCTCTTTTGCCGTCTTCTTTTCGAGCTATCTCTCTTTCTCTTTCCATCTAAACGAGTTCCGGTTCGTAATTAAGAAATCTTCATGGAAGGCGACGGAGACCACCGTCCTCTCTTTCTCTCTCTCTCTCTCTCTCTCTCTCTTTACTTACCATGGGTTAAATTAAGTCTATGACTTATTCAAGTTTTATCTACAATTGCCAGAGGAGGAATTGCCATGGCGTGGATTTACTGCCGACATTGTAATCAAACGGCACGCGTTTTCAGTACTCCGAGCCACTTTGGAAAGTTTCTTGGACCACTTAGGTACATGCATATAATACTACATAGATTCTTATGTTTCTATGTAAGAAGGAAAGAAGGGAAAAGTTATTTAACTCGTTCGTGACGAATTAATAACGTTGATTATTAATATCGACGATGAAATTATCAGATTTTTTGATTAATACACATTCGATATGTTTTTGATCGAAACACGTATGGAAAAAGAGAGAGAGAGAGAGAGAAAGAAGATAAGTAAGTACTTGTGTCGTTTGTTAAAGAACATATATCCCTTGTTGAAATCAAATGGAAGGTTGAGATAAGAGATGTACTGAATCGAAACGCGTTCATTTGTCGTTTCCCCTTCTTAATACCTAGTCGGCAAAAGGAAAAATCTTTTCTCTCTTTCTTTTCTTCTCTCTTTTCTCTATGTAGAAGTCGTTAATGGCACGTTACACGCACGAAGTCTCCTCCTCCTTTACGTCTTTTTCTTCTCTTCCTTCTTTCTCTTTTTCTTTACCCAACTCCTCCTCGTTCCTCTCTAATTCTTCTTCCTCGTCGTTCTCCTACTCCTCCGTTTTCCTTCTTCAGAAGAGGATTCTAGCCCGCGAATAAGACATTAATCGCAAAGGCGAAGGCAGTTTGCAAGCGACGGTAAATGCGGCCCACCAGGAGGGTGCCTGTTGGAGTTCGAGAAGGGGAAAAGCTTTCTCTCTCTCTCTCTCTCTCTCTCTCTCTCGTTTGCTCGCTTTGTGAAAGGGAGAAAGGAGGAGGAGGAGGAGGAGGAGGGTGCCGAGAATCGCGTGTCATTTGTCCGTTGATCTCCTGTGGCTGGGAACAGTCCAGGTGTGTGGCTGCGTTTGGCCATTCCTTCGTGCCTTTGCTTTTCTTGCGCGCAAAAATTAGCACCATCGTCGGATCGGAATTAGCCATGGTATCATTATCTATTTCCTTTCAGGAATTCTTTTAGAAAGAGATAAAGAGACAGAGAGATAGAGAGAGAGAGAGAGAGAGAGAGAGAGAGAGAGATTTTTTATTGCTTGATATACTTATTCCTATTCTTTAATTAATAGATTTCATTATAATCGGTTGATTAGATTTGGAAATTTCACAAAGAAGGTTTATTCACTAGTTACTGCTTATAACGTGCTCCAAGTTGATTCCCAACTAAACTCATAATCACGCGTAAGCTCGCAACCTGCCCTTTCCCATGAGAGAGAGAAAGAGAGAGAGAGAGAGAGAGAGAGAGTCTTCTACGTGCTCACGTAAAATTTAGTCGGTATACGAGGTAGCTCGTAATAATGAGCTCGTTAAAGAAATAATCTACACGCTAGGTATCATTAATAAGTGTAATATTTCTTTTGACATACATAGATATATTTATGTTCAAAAGAATCTCGACACTCGAATATTAAACAAATATCATTTAATTTAATTTCAATTTGAGTTTTTAGTTCTTAGTCGAATGAATTACCTTTCTCCTTTGGTTTGGATCTAATCGTCTAGAAGACGCGTATAGAAGACATCGTAATACCTTATTCCCTGTACGATTTCCATGGTGCACATTGATCCTCTTAAATTCCCATGTACCCGCCGTCTTGGCATTAGCATATTATCTCACCTCTCAAAGTCCTCCCACCATTACTACCTCCTCTACCTCTCTTGGTCTCTTGGCGATGCCACCCTTTTCCTTCTATATCTCCTTTACTCTTACTCTTTCTTTCTCTTTCTCTTTCCCTTCATCCCTCTCTTTCTTTCTCTCTCTCTCTCTCTCTCTCTCTCTCTCTCTCTCTCTCTCTCTCTCTCTCTCTCTTTCTCTCTCATTCTCTCGTCGTTCTTCTCCGTCTTTCCCTCACCCACCTTCTTATTCGACCCTCTGATTCGCGAAGGACTTTACAGACACTCGAGAGTTTGTTTTAAAACTCAGATAATCGTTTCGAAATTTCTCCCCTTCTCTATCTTCCTCTGTCTTTCTCTGTTTCTCCTTCGTACTACCCTTTCCTCTTACTTCTTCAAGACGAGCCTCGCTCGTTCCGCATTGCGCCGGATCCCAAGGGGAAAATTAGATCGAAATAAAAGTTCTCGGGGAATTTTAAGCGCGTTACGTTCGTCTCCTTTCCTACGATCGAACTTTCTTCTCAGGGATTTCAATGATTTCCTCGCATTCTGTATGTGTATCTCTCCAACGCGAAAATTTATTATTAGACATGTTATAAACCTTATATGTCGATTCGATGTTACCATTTTTTTTCTCTCTCTCTTCTTTTCTTTTCTTTTTCTTTCTTATTATTTTTTTCTTTTCTTTTTTCTTTTTATTTTTTATCGAAACATATCAATTTCTCGATCGTTGCTCGAATAAGGCACATCATTAAACGCTTACTTCATTGATTCAAAGGGCGAGGGTCAAGAAATACGAGTTTACGAGGTAGGATCCTAATTCGATTTATCGAGGGCGATGACTAAACTGTTCTCTTCTTTTCTTTTCCCCTCTTTTAGCAAAAGGGATCTCGTCGAGTTATACGTAAACCGTGCGCATTCTGGCATTATTTAGAACTAGCTAACCACACGTAGAAAAAGAGAAGGAAAAAGAAAAACGGATCCTTTAGAAGCTTGGTGGGTGGTTATAGAGAAGGCTCTTGCCTAAGAAAGATCGGGACAGCTGCCTGTGTTCTCAGGCAATCAGAAAAACTACCCTCTCTTCTCCCCTCTTTCGCTGAACGCTTGGTAGTCTCCTTTCCCACCCCCCGTAGCCACGGCTTAAGGAGGGTACAAACAGGGTGGCAGCTGTCTCAACGACGCCGAGAACCCTCTTCGCGGTTTTTAAGAACCTTAACGCTTTCCTCTTCCCTTTCATCTCTCTCTTTCTCTCTCTCTCTCTTTCTTTTTTAACTGAACTCTTTTTTTAACGTATCTTCATGATAGTTGAATCCTCGCGATGTTAACGTTACGTTCACGAGCCATCGAACTCTGTCGCGAAATGTCAGATAGACGATCGATCCCGAACGATTTTGCTGTGGTGGTGGTATATAACGTCGAGGGTTTGTCTCGAATACTCACCCTTCTCTGCGATGATATCACGAAGGTATTCACGCTCAAGGAACGAGATGTCAAGAGGGATCGTGTCAGGAGGCTTAGTCTAATAGATGCGCCAAAAGGACATTAGCATGCTACGCTCGGTCTATCGACATTAGCTTCTTTCCTTCGACGATTTTTTATTTCTCTTATCGGTCATTTATAACCACGTGAAATTCTTCGAATCGTAAGATACCCCATTGTCATCGTTTTCTCTCTATTATTCTTTTCAAGCTCTGATAGTCTATTATTCGAGAGTAATAATAAAAACTCGATGAAACATAATGCAAAGTCTCTTCTCGTCGATCGTTAAATTTCATTTTAATTAAACGCGCACCCTGGACGCAGGAAGATCGCTGATACATACATGCGTACATAGACATGCATACACGTAAGCGTTTAGTTTACTTGGGAACACTTACGTGGCACAGAAATAGAGTCGCAAGGGTTACCAACCCCGTTGTTACATGCGGCTCGTCGACAGGGCGAAAGGAAAGGGAAAGGGAAGAAATTTGCATATTATAAGTAGTACACGTTACCGAGACTACTGATATCATCTCAGGCAACGGGGACCTCGTTACTTTCTGCATGCTTATTATTCGAGTGTGTGTTAACTATTCACGACCTTCGACCAGAATACGAGAAGAGAATACGAGAAATAAAAAGTATTCTTTTCTATTTTCTTTTTTTTTGTTTCTATTTTTTTTCTTTTCTTCTATCTTTCTTTTTCTTTTTTTTCTTTCTTTTTTTTTTTTTTTTTTTTTTTTTTTTTCTTTTTCTTTATCATCCCGCTGTAATCGGATAGCAAAGATCGAAAAATCTTTAAACATCGTATCGGTATAAATTTTGCAATACGTGACGTCAAAGGGTAAGAGAGAAGATCCTTGCAAGACGGAACTAGGATTAAGTAGATCTGATCCTTGTTGGGTCGGACACGCCGAGGTCCTTCCATGCGCCTGAGGCTTAAGATATTGTTTTGAAGCGGAGGCTGTTGCTTTAGGATAATCAAGAAGACGTAATCCTAAGAGACTTAGCGTCGATGAGTCCATAATTCCGGACGTTCTCTTTTACTTTTTTCTCCCTTTGAAGTTTGTCTTTATTATACGTCGATTATTTTTTTTTAAACTCTCTCTCTCTCTCTCTCTCATCGAAGAGGAAAGAGCCGATAAATTTTGAAATATTTCGTTCGGTAGATCGTGTACCACCTACGTCGTCTTTACTTCGTTTAATTCCATTCTAATACCTCTCGACGATCCTTTACGAAGAGAAAATTCTTTCGCACGTTCCAACTACCAGGTAGCAGAGGAGGCACCGATCGTTAAGGCATGCGGGCGGCGTGGCTTGCTTAACGGTCGAGCTTAATTAATAAGGACACGCGATATCCTAAGTTAGAAGACGTTGCTAGTACGGTAAAGCATAGCCGAAGCCTCGAGGGAGTCCTTTGTTGTCGAGAGGGTCAGGATGAGCGACCTGCCACTTTAACCCACCTTAAGGGATTACGTCTTGAGGAGTTTCCGAGTCTCCTTCTACTCCTCATTTTCCTCTTACGATGGCCTAACTCGTACTACGCCTCTCGTTACGTCATCGTTCACACTTCTACCAAGCTCCGTCATCCTCGGGATTATATATCTCTGAATAATATCTGTCTGTCCATCCGGGCGCTTTTTTTTTTTTTCCTTATTAATCAATTTTACTTACTTGAGGTTGAAGATGCGTGACCTGTCTTTTAATATGCGCTAAAGTATCGTTCGGCGGAGGATGCGGCATGTTGGCGAAATAGACTCTCTCCTTGTAATGATACTCGCAGAGAATCTTATTCTCATAGAGATAAAACTGATCGCCCACGCAAAATCTGCAATTAGAAAGAGATAGATTTGTAATAATGGCCAAGTTTCTGATCGGAATCGATTATACAGATTTTCTCTTTGATCGATGATATATCGATCGTCGATCTAAGACAAAGTAGATATACTTAGAGAACGTTGTCGGAGTCTCATCGAAACGAATTTGCAAAGTTTTCAAACGGAAACTACGGCAAGGAATTTCTCCTATCGAGACAGAGAGAGAGAGAGAGAGAGTGAGAGAGAGAGAGTCTGTACAAGCTTGGCGGAGCAGTAAAGCGTGCTAATTCCGTTTAAGACCGCTTTCCGTTCTGCTCCGCCAAGGAAATTGCGAGAAAATAAAAACAAGGAGCGAAGTGGCAGCGGCTCTCTCCCCTTCCACCTTTCCCTCCTCTACCCCCTCCCTCCCCGTACCCCAAGCCTTACGGCTTCTGGCGCGTTTCCGCAACTCTTCGAGCTCCTTTAGATGTAAATTTCCAGTCGATTCGCGGAGCAAAACTACTCCGAGTTCTCGGATTGCCGGCGAGTCAGTTTCGCACGAACGACCTATACAATCTCAAGGCGAAACCCACTTGCATTATTCCTCCTCTTTACTTTTCCTTCGGCTCTTTCTTACTCTTTATTTCATATACATTAATAAACGAGATACCATATAATCGAGACGCCGTAACGCCATAGAAAAAATGGTAAGTTTCTTTTAGGATAGGAAAAAAATAATTAATGCAAAAGGCGAATTTAAACGAATACGAGGGAGAAAAAAAAATATTACTCGATCCCGCGTTATTATCCATGTGTCCTATATGTCAAAGATCATAAATAGAATCGCATATCTTTTACGAGGGAACCCATCAAAGCTCGTCGTACTTTTTTAAAATTCGAAGTACGAGACACGAGGATTTTCGAGTAATCTGCCGTGGATGTATATCTATAGGTATATCTATCTGCTGGCGAGGAGGAGGAGGAGGAGGGGGGGGTGAGGGGTACGCGTAGAAGAACGGTGCGGGTACACGCGGATTTCGAGATGGCGCAGAGGTAGAAACGTGCTCAGTTTGCGATATCAGAGAAATAAGCTTGCCACGAGGGTTATACGCATCGACCAACTGTCGCACCACCGTCGACGTCCGTGCCGCCGCTACTGCTGCTGCTTCTGCTTCTGCTGCTGCTGCTGCTTTTGCTACTCGCCCAAGCCCTTTAAAATCAAAGATTTCGCATTTTTCCTTTTTATTGCCGGTTTAAAAGTCAATTTTTCTCTTCTATACCCGCACAGGGCTCTCTATCTCTTTCTCTCTCTCTCTCTCTCTCTCTCTCTCTTACATAGTCGCTATCCGCGTCTTTCTTTTTCTTTCTCGAGTGTCCGCAAGAGGGACGTTATGCGGAAAATGCTAAAGAGGCACGGAACGACGATCGTAAGGGGGTGATGGTCGCTTTTCGACAGACACCGCTGCGCCAGGAGAAAGAGAAAGAACGAGAGGAGATGCCGAAGGGATCGAGGATCCACGAGGGACTCGAAAATCGTTTCACCCAGGATCCATACCCGTGTTGAAATTCTTAGCAGGTAGCTCGAACATCACTCTCCGTAAGTGCCTGAGGTATACCGCTTCGTGCCACCGTACCACGTGGCACTCGCAAATTTACAAAGAACTTGTACTTTGATAATCTTGTAAAAACCTAACTGAAATATATCAAACGAATTCTCTCTTCTTCTCTCCGTTTTGACTTATTTCGAAATCGGATACGAGTAAGAACGAACGATGGTATATTTTTCAAGTAATAAAAAATATATTTTTTCCTTCAAAGTCGGTGGTACACGGAGTTAGGTACATGTAGCTCTCTACGTACGTAGAGATACCTACGAACATATTCCGTATTCAACGGATGTGCCGGTTCCGTTTTCAGATCCTGTTTGGGTTTTATGTCAGGATTTCTGTCGAGTGGTTTATACCGGCGCTTATGTAAATGCAGACGTGATTTTTTTTCACCACCTAGCCACCACTTCGCTTGCATCGGTATGGTGGATATTACATATATATGTATATATCTATACCTAAAAATATATATATATATATATATATATTATACGTATATATGTGTTTTCGGGCATCGCTAGCGAGATATCATTTTCTTCGAAAAGACGACATCTTTGCGGATTTAAACTACATCCAGATTTTCCCAAATCCTCTCCCTCTCTTTCTCACGCGTTCATTTTATTGCAAGGAGTGCAAACGCCTCGAGAAATTTCTTCTCTGCTATTCGATTTTCTTTCTCCCTTGTGTTTTCTCTCTTCTAATTCGATCGCCATTTCGAAAGGGTAATCGGAAGAAGGGTGGTAGGAAGGAAGAAGAGAAGATCTGAACGATCGGAACGTCGAACATGGACCTCCATAAAAAGCAATGCTCAACCGTAACGCGGTACGATAAGTACCGCGTCGCGAGCTAAAATCGATCCTCCAGGGTGGTTGGTCGGTCTCCAGTCGTACACCATAAAAAGGGAACATTAGAGAGAGAAAGGAAAGTATAAGCGTCTCTCTGTGATACCGCGAGAAAGAAGATAGGGAAACGTTGCTGATGGTAGGCAGAAGGTAGTGGGAGAAGCCAGCCCTCAGGGCTTTAGCCATCTCTTTCTAACGCTCTTTATATAACGTATAACGGTGTTATGATTTCGCGCCTAGATATGCGACGTGTCTGCCGATAAACGAGTATTTTTTCTCCTCCTCCTTTTTCTTTTTTTTTTTCTTTTTTAACTTTCTCCCGTATCGTCGCCGCTAAATACTTTGGACATTAGGATATTTCGTTGAATATTGAATATCGATATGGCAGGGTGACGTTTTTTATTATTACTTCCTTGTTTTTCTTTCTGTTCTATTTTATTTTATTTTATTTATTTATTTATTTATTTTTTTTTTTTTTATATAAAGCGTCACACGGAATAAAAAAAGTAGCAGCGCGAATAATCGCAAAAGCGTTAAACGTTCTCTACGGTGTATAGCCTTCGCTAAGTCGAGAAGGAAGCCTCGGAGTTTCGTCGGCAAACAGAGCGAGCTTCGGGACTCGAAGAAAAGGGGTGAGAAGGGCGTAGGAATGAGAGGGAACGAAAGGAGCTTGCGGGCGAGAAACCCCAAACGGCAACACTTTGGCCGTAGTCAAGATTCTACTGGGTTTGGTGAGCGAGTAGTCGTGGTACTTCTGAAGGGGGTCCTAGAGAATAAATTTCCTACTTGATCAAGGCACGAGAAGCAGAGACAGAGACAGAGAGACAGAGAGAGAGAAGAGTTGAAGAAGACGCCTGTACTCACGGTACTTGCTTCGCGTTCTTACTCAATTTGCATCAAACTATAGAGAGACAAGCAAGCAAGCAGGCAGGCAAGCAGGCCTGCTTTTCTATTCTCTGGGAGGTTCTGCCACCTGATGGAGGAGGTGATTCTGCAACCTCCCTCTACCCACCGTGTCTAACTCCTCTACCTCATATTTCGCTTCAAGCGGAGAGCCCTACTGCCGAGACTAACGCGTTTAGTAGAGACTCGATTCCCTAATCAGATCTTCCGACGGCAGTCGAGGGTTTCTAAGGTGCTGCTAAGTGTGAAGTTAATGGAGTCAAGACGCCGTTCCTCCTCTATCCGGAGGAGGCCAACGAGAATCACTCGGGATGTAGCTAGGCGAAGCCACCGTTTGTTCATTATTTATCATCGAAAGTGGTTAACTTTCCTCGTAGATTCATCCTTTATATATGCGATCTAACGTATCTAATCTTGAAAAGTTCATTTGATTAAAATGATTAAAAATGATTGGTGATAAAAAGAAAATCGCTTGTTCTATATGGAAATATACACACACACCCACATACATATATATATATATATATATATATATATATATATATATATATGTATATCTTTCTCTTTCGAAAAGAGAGTTTGAAATCGACACTCGAACGTTTATCGAGTCCCCTGACATAAATCAATTCGTTTACCTGCGAGAGACATTACCGCTCTTTAGTCTCGATATTAATAGCGCCTTGGGTATCGATAAAGCGACGTATTCGTATCGCTCTGCTAGCTCGTTATAGACTCGAATAGATAGGTAAATGCTTTATTTGTCGCCCTGGGATAGAATCCTGAGAGAGAGAAAGAGAGAGAGAGAGAGAGAGAGAATTGCAATTTATTTATGCTCTTCCCCCGTACCCACGACACTCACTCGAACAGTGAGCGACACAAATAATAAATGAACGTAATCAATTCAACGTTCGATAGTAGGTACGTGAGTTTGCATCGTCATTGGCGTTAGACAAACAAAACTCGATAATCTCGACTATCGTTATCGACCGAAATCTTTTTATAATATTATTATTTCGATATAACAATAGAAATGAGCCTCTAGACGTCGGTACGATCGCATTTTATGTCGAACAATTCGTCTCTCGTGCTTTATGGATATTGGGTTGATTTCATGAATAACAGCTGTTATTATTAAAAATAAAATGTCACGTTACGTACGTACGTGAATACGCGTATAATATTTATGGATAAAGACGAGATGTATACGTGTTAGGCACGAAATGTCATTGTTTCACCGATCGAAAACGTCGTCTCATCTCTCGATGTGTCTCGCAAAGGTTCGTTTGGTTCATTGCTTTGTTTCGATAATGATTGCTTACCTGGCTCGTTCTCCTGTTAATTAATTCAGACTGTCAGGGTATCAAGCAAACCATGGCGCGTTAATTCGATCAGGAGTGAATTCGCTCGGGTTCGACGTGGCTGTGGAAGCAGGATGATGGGGAAGAATGAGGAGAACGGAGAGAAGAGAGAGAGAGAGAGAGAGAGAGAGAGAGAGAGAGAGAGAGAGAAAGGATGCCAGGAGATGGTAGGAGTGAGAAACGACGATGTCGGCGATGCCTTCTCTCGCATCGAGGACAGATTTACGCCGCAGACAGTTGACGTCGCTATCTAAATGTCGCCCCGAGAAAGCCGACACGTCGGACGACGTCACTCGATAATAATACACACGCATACATCGTC